TTAGAAGGTAACATTATATTATTTATTAATAACTGACGTTCCAGTAGTAGGAATGAATTCCAAAATATAGTATTTGATAGGATTGGGGACATTGATAAAGGAGGCACTCATAATCAGCTGTTCCATCCCCCCCTCCCCCCCAAGGTCAATGTCTCCAGACAGGAGCCAGGTAGTTGCATCATATACCTCACCGCGCATGTTATGGCTGTTAATAAATTGAATCTATGTTCGTATGTTTAATGTTGTATTTTTGACTTTTGTGTACTTTCTACGACTAATGTGTTCCAATGATTCTATGAAGTAAGCTGTTTAACAATGAAACTTTTGTTTCTAAACTATTCGTTCAAGACTAAATTAGGATTGATGGTGTAAGATCCTACCGTGAGACCTAAGTTAATACATTATTCTCCAAATGGAAAATATGCTAAATCATTGTAATCGTGATAAAACATATTTTCAGTCATTACAGTTTCTCTGTTTTCTAGTTTTTTTTTATTTGTCCTCTATCAAAACCACAATTTTTTCTCTTTTAAAGCCATCTCACAATTAATATAAAAACAAAAACTTTCAAAGTTTTTTTTGACGTGCTGCATGACTCACTGGGTACTGACTCTCCGTGAGCCCGACTATCTTTGCGAGAGGCTTTCTGTCCGGGATGAGATCATACAACGTAGGACACGTCATGGTGGGAGGCTTCACTTTCCAAGGGTCACCTTGGAATTGGGAAAGAGAAGTTTCTCATTTTTCGGACCCACATTGTACAACGGACTGCCCGATAGCCTAAAAACCGTTGCATCCAACAATACCTTTAAGATTAAGTTTAAAAAGTTTTTAAAAGATATAAATGTTTATTTGTAAGTGCAGTAGGTTAATGACAAAAGTTGTTCTGAAAACTGATATGTATCAGAGAAACGCTGGCTAATAAAGACGTTTTTATTTATTTATTTAAAGTATAAACACTACTACTATAACTGTAAAATGTGAGATAAATGTACTCATAGCTTAAGGCTGCGTTTATGCACGAGGAGTGAACATTCTGTCTAATAGTGCAAACCGGAAGGTAGCGGTCGGTCAACGGCAAACGGAGTGGGGGACACAGTTTTACAAACTTTAATTAACTCCCTATATCACAGTAAACAAATAACCTTTAACCGAATCCATAGGACAATGCATGTGCGCGTACATAGGTTGGTCAAGTTGGCAACCCTGACTGCAGCCGCCCCGCAAACCACACACTCTCAAACAACTGCTGCGATTTCTAACAACACAGCGGTCGAATTAGAAACCGCAGCAGGTGGAAAACCGCTCCCGCTCCCACTCTTCGTGCATAAATGGGGCCTAAGGTCTTCGTTCGCACTGTGTTTAAGAGTGAGGTAGCAGAGAGTTATGAAGAAGTGCAGGAAGGGCCGGTCTACCAGCAAACTTTATAAACTCATAACTAAAATTATAGGCTTAAATCTTGAGTTATAACCAACCTTGTTTCTCAAATCTCGAATCCAAGTTATAATATTACTAAATAATGTTGAATGTATTGTACAAATCGGTTCTAGCTGACATCATCATCATCTTCCGCAATCGTGGCCAAATCATAAATATCTCACACGATTGCAGCAATTTCTGAACTACCATGTTTTTAAAATCTCAAATCGAAGTTATAATATTACAAAATAATGTTGAATGTATAGTACAAATCAGTCCTAGCTTACATGATCATCATCTTCCACAATCGTGGCCAAATCATAAATATCTCACACGATTTGAAATTTGATTTAAAAGTAAATTTTGAATAACAATTAAAAATATCTTCTAATATTTCAATGCTACTGTGAATTGCAGTGGTATTATTGTTAACTGAAAGTACACTAAGAAGGGGGTAGTTGAGATACCTATAGGGGAATTTCAAAATCAATGAAAAGTACCAATAAAAAGTCTTAAAAATAAATCAAATCACTGGAACAACCATAAACAATAATAAACTTGATTTAAACAAGTTTAAATCAATGACTTATCAAAATAAAACCAAGGAACCTATGGACCACACCCATTATTCTTAAAGATTCTATCTCTTACCTTAGAAAATCAAAAAATATCTGTGTAGATGATCAAAATGTCTTCAAAAACAGTTCAAAAACACTTAGTATTGTTCACTAACATACACTTTTGCTTGAAACAAACAAAACTAACACTTCAAAGAAATACTATGACTCCGAAGTATCACGCCGATGCTTCCTTATCAACACCGCACAAGCAAGAGGCAGATTCAGCAAGGTTTGCTTCAGTCTGCATTTTCTGCCGAGCATGCGCATGATACCATGTCTAGACGTAAGAACTAAACCTTCTTTGTTCTAAGGAATACGAACAAAGAACCATGCAACCAGTACAACCAGTACTTCATACTATACAAAATGTTATTTGAATATTTTAGAGTTTAATGTGTTGTTATAAGGTTCAAAAATTAAGAATACATATATTTTTAAACACATGATTGAAAGTAAATTAAAAGAGCATCTACAAACTACAAGTTATTACTTAGTACTGGAAACCCTTATAAACATATTTTATACCCAGTGGAGGAATTGTAATTATCTAGGCTTTTTATGTGCAAGTTTTTATTAAGTAATTCAAAATTGTCCTTACAATTAAAAACAGAGGCTAATTTTCTGTAGTTAAATGAACTTAAATACAAATACTGATAGCCTAGGTAAAATCACTATATACATTATATATCAGGCCTAGGAGTTCTCAATTCTTTGTTAACTTACAATTGATTATAAGTTAGTTTTAGTTTTAATGTTTCTTGTATTTGAATTAATAAAAAACATATGAGTATAATTTCTATAAAGTATTTTGCAAATATGTTTCTACAAATGTGATTTACCAAAATTATATAAAGTGGATAGTTACAGCAACATTAAAAACTTCTACCCACATTAAGATTACAAATTAAATTCTGATAGTCTAATTATTTAGGTTTGGTTTAGATAAATGTATTCCTCATTCCTAGATTTATAATTATATCATAAAAAATGTGTAAATTCAAAATCCCAATGTAATATTTTTGGTGCATAAATAAACTGTTGTAGTTTGCTTGTTTATGGAAATATTTAATCAAATTTGGAAATTTTGTTTATTTCATACTAAGCTATCAAAATTTTAATAAAAACAACATACCTCAATACCTTCCCTTTAGCAGCAAATAGTGCTCACTCAATTAATGTTACTTAAATAGGACAATTTTAAGGGAATATTTTAATAGAAATCAAGCCGGGTAAATGGAAATTTGCTTAGTCTACAGGTTTGCTGCGGTGGGGGTATTAATTTTACATATTACAATGTAAACTTGGTTCTTGTTAGGGAAAAATTAGCAACTCATACAGTTTTTTATTTTATTATTTACTCAAAAGATTGTTAGCCTAAGCACATTTTTCATAATTAAATAAATTTTTGAGAAACAATGTATCAGGCAGCTTCCCAAATCACTGTGATCAAAAATTTGAGACTGTGTTTACAGTTTCAGTCGCTGTTACAGACAGAGTTCTTAATTAGGTGTAACTCGTTTATTGGTCAGAGCGCAGAACATCTTATCCTGCCAAAAAACATTCACTTTCCAGTATTCGGCTTTATGGTTCAGAACCTAAATTAAGATGTTGTTTTATCAGGAAAATTATAGGCCTCCTAGATGCAAGGGAAGTTGTCTTTGTATTAGGGAACTCTTTTTGTTGATGGCCATACTGTTCTCGTGCACATAGGGCGATTTATATCGGAGGTCATAGTTAGCCGCATCAGCAAATCTCAGCCACGTTATTTGGTCCTTTGTATCTTTCTCCGCTCCAATTCTCTCCATCTATCTTCACTTGCTTCCACAACCTCTGCTTAGGTCTTCCTGGCGTCCTCTACCTGGGTTGCCCTTTAATCCTTTTTTTCAGTTGACCTTTCTCCTCCCTTCTCAGTACATGCCCTGCCCGATCTAATTCTTCGACACTTATTTTCTCCAATTACATGTGTAATGTTGTAAAGCCCCCTTATCTCCTTATTGTGTCTTCTTCTTCACTCCCCTTTTTTACATAGTTCCATAGATTTATGCAATACTTTATTTTCAAATACCCTTTACAAGTTATCTTTAAAAAAAATCACAGCATTATTTGTAAGAGAACATCTCTATGAAACCATTTGAAAAAAATCTCTAGAAAGAGAGATTGTAGAACTCCTTTGCCGCCAGCTTATTCAAATGGGGTTTCATTGCGTAATACTGTTCTGCAATGAGTTTTACCGGACACCAATCAGCTGATTATACTGTATTTTCGTGGCAATTAGTGGTTATAAACAAAAACATAACCTCTCATGACTAGTGATTTTTAGTCCTTTAGTTGGTGGAAATATATAAGGATTTGTACGGATTAAGTAGTATGGCGTAAACTATCGTACGTAACTCGTCCAAAATGTGTGTACCGGACTCGTATGGTAATCTCCGGTAAACACTTATTTTCAGGACTAGTAACGTAATATACTATTACACCTCACTACATTATTTTGACGAACTTCCCACGCAAGGATTTAGTCCAGAAAACAGCTGTTTGCCGCCAGCTTAATCAAATAGGGTTTCATTACATACTACTGTACTGTAATGAGTTTTACTGGACACCAATCAGCTGATTATACTGTATTTGGGTGGCAATGAGTGGTTATAAACAAAAACATAACCTATCTTAGAGGTTAGAGGTGATTTTTTTTCTTTAGTTGGTGGTAAGGATTTGTACAGATTTAGTAGTATGGCGTAAACTATCGTACACAACTCGTCCAAAATGTGTTTACCGGACTCGTATGGTAATCCCAAAACGACCACAATCATCCGGTAAACACTTATTTTCAGGACTAGTTACGTAATATACTATTCGCTCATTATAGTTTCTTGTTTCTCAAGATTTTTCTTTAGTGTAAAATCAATGTTTTACCCTTTTTAATTTAGTGTTTGTTTTCTCAAACTGAATGGTGTTTTACAGCTCCAGCCAAACCAGTGAGTGTGTTTGAAGAGAGAGTGTCAGTGTTCAAAGAGGAGAGTACACCAGTTCAATTCTCTACAGCCACTAGCCTAAGCGACTTGACTTTTGATGATGAACCACCGGTAACGTAACTAGATTTCAAATTTAGATTTAATTATTGTTATATTGCATCCAAATCAGGCTCGGACATTAGAAAATATAGGTTACTAACCTTTATTTAGCTTTGATATCAAAGCTAATATCAATTGTCAAAGCCTTTGATATGTCTATTGTTTTTGTTTTGAACTTACATACCCAACAAAGAGGAATTTAAGTGCAGTGTTACAGCTAGTAGGTAAATACCGGCTAAGTTAACCTATTGGCACACAACAATTGCCCTGCCGGGCTACACACGGAAATATCTACTTTATTTCGCTCTTTTAGAGACTTCCTTATTAATTATTATTTCGTCTTCAATTATTTTCTTCCTCCCCAGCAATATTGGCGTAAGATTCACAATTATTTATAAGAACACAAAACATAACCTCAAAACTCTCACCTGTTTACTTTTAATGGTTTATGTTACCGTCTGCTGGTGATACTACTGACGCCCGATGGACTGGTAACTTAAATCATGAAATTCTACAAGTATTTTGGGCTACTATGCACCATGTTGTTAAACTAATATTTTTGTTTTCCATAACAGGTTTTGTAACCAAAGCCAAAAGCATACAATAACTAATAATTAAGTAGGCCTACTAAAAAAGCTTTTTTAAATATTTGGTTAGACTTTGCTTTTGACATTTATGTAAAAGAAATTGACTAGCTGTATTTTGGTTTTTATCTATAAAAAAGTGTTTATCAAAAATCAAATCACACATTTGATAGTATTGCTTGTTAAACTTTCCTACCCTTTCTGAACTTAAAAAGTATACATATTAGTATGTCCCTTATACTTTTGGATTTTGCATAGCTATTTTTATGGTTTGCAAATTCACAAAATAATCCTGCATTAGGGTTTGACCTTGGCCTTCAAAAGGCGAGATTTATAAGGTTAAAAGCAACTTGTAACTCGAGCAGTTAGTTTGGACGTGATTGCAGATGCAATAATGTTGCCCTTAACCTACCTTATGCTAGAAGACGTAAAAGAAGAAATATTGATGGTGAATCTAGAAAAATGAAAAAGTCACAATCCTATGTAGCTACCAAGATGTTAGGAGGGGTTCCAAAAATGTATAACTGAAGCAAATACTTTGCAGGAAGATTCAATGCTAAGACATTTTTATAATTTGAATAGGGTTTGTTCAGAAACTCGTGGAAAAAGTTTAAACAGCCGATAGCCTAGCACAAAGGAAGGAATATATTGAAACAAAAACCTCTTAATGAACAATATATTTATTTCAAAAGTATGAACATGTAAAACATTGTAACAGCTACTACAACAGAAGGTTAGTTAGAATTAAACATAAAAGCAGGCTTTATAATATTAAAGATACTAGTAGTCTGTAGGCTACTGCAGTTTCGTTCCCAATGAGAACTTCATTAGGCTGTCAAGGACATCAAATTTTGTTCCAGAGGAAGTCGTCGAAGTTAAAATCAATCGATGTTACACATTTAATTACACACAAACGGAAAGAGTAACAATAATTAAACATTACAAAAACCCCAGTACGGGGAAACACAATACGCACGGAGGGCAAGTCCAGAATGATGTGTTATTTTGAAGTGTATAACCTCCTCCTTCCTTATCACAAGGAGGACAACTTCCTCTGGAAGAAAATTTGATGTCCTTGATAGTGATGAAGTTCTGATGAAGTAGTCCTTGAAGTGAGTGGTCTGATGAAGTTCCCATTGGGAACAAAACTGCAGTAGCCTACAGACTACTAGGGATCACTCTGACAGTAAAAGATATTAACACCATTATTTATTACTACACCAGTGATCCGGAGGCTAACAATATGAAAATAAAAGACACAATCAATGCGGAGATCACAGAGCTCCAATCAATGTGGCTGTTACGGCTGAGACTTTCATGCTTTCAGTCTAGTTGTCAAACTTGAGCCAATTCTGCCACAAGGCACTAGTAGGATTATAGGATGAGTTCCAATTATTTAAAATTTGAATTTTAGTTAGAGTTATAGCCGCACGACTATACTGTAATCCTTGCTCTGGATTTTTTTTTTTTTTTTTTTTTTTTTTTTCCATTGGAAGCGCTGCTGCGCCGTGGACGTCAGTTTTTTTTTTGTCTTTTTATTTCTTTTCTATGGATCTACCATAAAGTCTTCAATTTTATATAACGGGGATTCCGTTAATATATTCTTCAATTTTTCTTTGAAGGATTCCATCGAAGGTTCTTCCTTAATCTCATTTGGTAGTCTATTAAAAATTGTTACACACTGATAGTGAGGGCTATTTCTTGCTAAAGTTGAATTAATCTGAGGTACATGTAAATTTTTCTTCTGTCTCGTATTAATGTTGGACGTTGTAATTTTGAATAAAGCATTGGGGAGATTTCTTAACTGTTACTGCTGCTTCAAATATGTAAAGAGACGGTAAGGTTAAAATTTGCAGTGATTTAAAAAAAGGTGCACATGGTGTTAAGTAATGTTGCTTACAAATTGTTCTAACTATTCTTTTCTGTAGGATAAAAACTCTCTTTGCATCAGGGCTATTTCCCCAAAAGAGTACGCTTGCTACAATTAGGCATTGTCTTTCCAGTTTGAAATCAGGAAATATTGTAGGTTGAGAATTCTAGGCTGTCAGGTATAATGAGCAACGTAAAGTTGGCAGGATTGTATGTTAGGCCTACCTAAAGTAAATGTAAAATGGCTAAAAAAAGAAGTTTACAAAATGAGTAAATTCTTTAGATGTTGTACCTCTAATGAGTCAGTTTGCCGATTTTACATATTACTATTGAGGTTTGTTTTCCAAAACATGTATTATTTTTTATTAATTCAACTCGTTACAAATTGTATTGATTCTATAATTGTATATGCTACTTAATTATATAATTATTCATCAGGAAAGGCTCTCTGAATCATACCGTACCTAAAAGCAGTCTTAATTGAACCTAAATTATAGGCTATTAAAATTACCAAACCCAATGGTTTTTTCATAGAATGTGCTGAACAGTTAAAACAATACTTTTACTGTAGAAATCTTCACTCAAACTGTCCAATGGCTAGAAAACCTTACATTATATAGGCCTGAGTGTGGATTTTACTCTAAGAAGCTAATAGGAGGAATAAATAACTGGCTAGATATAAATAGTTTTGTCCATTCATTGAACATACTATACTATTTTGATTTGGAAATCTCATAATTCATTATTTTATTGCTTTTAAATTGTAACCACAGTCCAGTCAAGCCTAATATCAATAAACTGCTTTCCAAGCTAATAGCCTTTATCAAATTAGTTTGCCTGTTTATCAGTACTTCCTGTTATCTTTCTTTACTAAAACACTTTTCTGTCAAATATTTGTCGCTAGACACAATGTAAACTATTTCCTATTGTAACGTAGCAAGATGACTTAGTATGTTCTAACATTTTATATTAGGTTTTTCAATTCAAGTCCATTTTATCTCAGATGGAGGGGGATCGGAAGTGCGACATGAGTGATCCGACTTCTGATTTAGCTCCAGTTGATGAAGAGGAAGACGATGATATGTTGGCTGCCTGCATCAACATTGGAATGCAGAATAGCAACAGGTAAAAGAAATTAAAATGTCCTTCCTTTTGTCAGAACCTTTTCAGTAGTAAATTACCAGTTAATATAACAGTTAATATTAAACCCAGACTACCTGTATTTTTTTAATGTACCAATAATCTAATAGGTCTTTTTGTTTCAAGTAGATATGAATAACTACAGATAAAGCTATTGCTACATAACCTATAACTGTCGCCATAAGCCTACCTATCTTTGGACTATGACTATCCCATAGCCTATTCCTAGCGTCTACTCATCGCAAACCTATTCGGTGTTAGGCCTTCAACATTCTAAACATATTTAGCCTCTAGATCAGGTTTTTTTACAAATGAAAAGGTTAAATACCTGTTGCACTGTCAATGATCCGTTTTTAGTCTGCGTCCAAGGTGTCGACCTAAAGGTTCATTTTAAGCTTACCAAGTGGTTGAAAAATTCCTCTTCATACCTGAGATTGTGAAGAGTCGTTAAATATACAAACACCTACACGAACACAAAAACATTTCAGAAAAATTTGGCCAAATTGTATTACTGAAAAGCGGTTTGCTTGGTATAACCGGCAGAAGATAAATCATGACGGTAAGGGGTTTTTCAACCACTTGGTAGACAGCTTAAAATTAACCTATAGGTTCGAAACCTTGGTCTCAGACTAAAAACAGATCATTGACAGTGCAACAGGTATTTAACCTTTTTACTTTATAATTTTATTTTTTATAAATTCTGTTCTGACCCAGGTCACTCACATCTATAGATTCTAGTATAATTTAAGTCCTGCTATAAAGAGCAGAATAAGGAATTTATGTGTAGCAACATTTACTTCTCTTTTGTCAGTATTTCTGAAGATCTTATATAATATAGTTCTAACATTGTTGCTTAAAATCACTATTTTAAATTATGATAGAAAGTTATTTTCTAGTCAAAGTGTATACTTCCCCATCACGATCAAGGAAAAGATCATAGTTGGTTTCGCTTGAGTACACGTTCTCGGACTTGGTCCTAAGGCCTCGGCAAATTTAATAAGCAGTAGAACCCTATTTCTCTTCATTTCTTTAGCCTCATAACTGCTTTTCCTATGACCTTCAACCTTCTCTGAACTAGAGTTGGATAATCTAGCCAAAAGTGTTCTACAAATTCTACCTCCATAGCACACAACCTACCCATCGGTCTAAGGCGGTATTGGTTGATTGTCAGTAAACAGCCCTGCCACTATGCTGGGGAGCAAGCTGGTCTGGTGGTTAGAGTGCAGGACTTCAGTCCCTGAGTCCCGGGTTCAAATCCCGCCAAATCACCAATGGATTATATCTAAGTGATAACACCGCAACCCCTAGGTCTAGCCTGAAGCAAAGTGCAAAACAATCCCAGGCTCGTGCCTAGCGTCTCAGGAATAAAAAAAATCATGCTAATGTCCTTTTTTTGTAAGCTCAGAATTCGTATTCTTTTGGGGCAAAGAATCTAACAAAGTTTTTGTCTTGAGTTGTTATTCCACGCTTGAGCTCTCAGGTTGTTCTCCTAGTCTAGGACTTAATAGAATATTTGTGAAACTTTTTTATCTAGTATTTTTCCATCTCCTAGAGGTCGTGCGGAACGAGGTGAAGCCTGAGATTTTCGGCGGGAACGGTCTAAAGCGGGGAAATCCATGGTGGGGGTAGGAGACGAGCCGATCGTCGCCTCGCATAGCGACACTTCCCCCGCCACACCACTATTCCCCTCCAAGCTTCACCTCGTTCCGTACGACCTCTACCTTCTGTTCCTTTTTAGTATTTTCCCTTGACTTTCTTAAGCTATAAAGAGCTTTTGGGTTGTTTGTCATGTATTCTAATTATCACTCCTTTACATTCAACATCGTACTCCCCATCAATCTTCAACCCCTTGTTTATGCCCGAATAAAAATGTCTAAAATCAGTTCATGGTCAGGGGCTCCTTGGGGAAGAGTTACTGTTGGTAACTTACTAGTTGGAGGTCTGATTTGAATAATCTCTTCCTTGATTGACTAAAGGGTGCGGCAAAAAAAAACCGATCTATTTTCTGCTGCGCACTGTTAAGCGAAAACTCGTCTGAGTGTGGGAGTAGGCTCGTTGGAAAGCCTACACGATGCCTTTATATGTAGTCATAGAGCAGATGTGACCTGAACAACGCACGTTTGTTATCGAGATGTTTTAAAAGTAATGATTCAGTCACTGCAACTCAGCGGCATTTCCATGCATTCTTTAAATTAGGTTGACATGGAGATGTTCCAGTGCGATTATCTGTATGGATAATCAATAAAATTAAACAGATCAATACAAATTAATCTGTAAGGATAATAATAAAGATCAAACCTCAAAATTAGTGTAACCGAGTACGGTTACACTAATTTTGAGGTTTGATTACTATCAGACATGTTCAAAGCAGATTGTTTTTGGGCGGGCTTACAAGGGCTGTTTTCTACAGCAGCACAAACTCTATAAAATGTTAGTTGTTTGGCGTCCGATCTTCATGGACGGCTTGTCAGCTTCTTTTTTAACGCAGAAGCTGTTGTTCTAATGTTGGTAACCCACCACATGATTGTGCTACTTGACGGAAACCACATCGTCCTAATTAAAAGGACTGTCGCTTAGTTGCAATGACTGAATCATTTATTTTTAAATTCAACCTGATAACAAACAGACAATGCTCAGGTGACCACTGCTCTATGACCAGATAATGGCATCGTGTAGGCTTTCCAACAAGCCTAACCCCACCACTCTCAGACGACGTGTCACTGAACATTGCGCAGCATAAAATAGATTTTTTCTCCGCACCCTGTATTATTCTGATTGTTTAAATTCCTCCACGACATGTAAGCCGTGTTCAGTTTCAGAAGAAACACATCCAAGACACCCCCCGTGGTGAGATGTGCTCCAACCCAGCGGCCCAGTGGGATACCAGTCAAGGCTGCCTTGACTCGAGCTTCCCCTCCCACCAAGTCTTCCATCCCTGACAGTGAGGTAGGTTTATCAAATACATTGTTGTCTTAATAGGGAATTTCTCTATAAGGAAGTAGCTATTACCATTGACTATTAGATACTGAAGTAGACGTTCCATCTATATGGACCAGCTGTAGCCAATTTTTTGTTAAAGAGAATGTATTTGTGTGAGCCAGTCACAGAATGCGCTTGTGACTAAAACTCTATTTTCTACCTTATTTTTTGTTGCTGACCAAGTTTATGGGTCATAAGAGTTGCTATAGCTCAAAATAAGTCATTCCATTAGTTTGAATTGATAAAAAATATTGTATATTTGACGTAAATCAGTAATTAAGATCAGCACAATCTGTTGGTGGCTCACATCAACTACATCGATTTTGGTTTAAAAACTTTCTACAAATTTAACATGGGAATGGAATGTCTAGTTTTATTAATAGTCAAAGCTATTACCTTAGATGGCACGGTAAGACTAGACCCGGTACCGATTTACTTTTTCAATTCGAGGTACCCTGAGGCTAAAAAGTTTGAGAATATCCGTAAACATGATAACTCGAGTAATTTTGGTTCAATTTTTATTAAAGTGGCATGAATATGTAAGGCGGGATAAACTTGGAGTTTGGAAATTTAAGCAAGATCGGGCAAGGTATATGGGGTTTTATAGTTTTTTTAAAATTGGTTTTAAAAATGTTTACCCTTAAAACATGAAAATATCCATGTTCATTACACCCATCATGTACACCTTACAAAACAAAGAATTTAGTGTATTGAAATGTTGTTGGGCAATTAAAGGTTACAGAGAAATTAAAAAAAAAAACTAGACTATTGCTTCAATGTTTAATTTCCATTGGAAATGTAACATTTTACAATTTCATAAATATATTTTCTGTGGCGAAATTTGTTACCAAACACCTGTTTGTCATTTAACGTAGTTTTTACTTCAATTTTATTCTATGTTATAAGCTTATAAATATTTTATTTTTATGTTTGGACCTTAAAATGTAACTGTTATTTATTTATTCATTGATCTTACGTGGTTTGTTAGTTATAAATTAAATTAGTTACGTTTTAATTGGGGTAATTTATTTTCTTGTTTATTATATTATTAGTAAATAAATATATATATTATTAGATCTTATTTGTTTGTATAAATTTTGCTTTTATTATAAAAAGGTTACCAAACAAAAGTCGTTAGAAGTTTATTTAAATCCATATTCACAAATAATAAACACATAAAAAAAATTTAAATAACAGACCTAAGTTCTCTATTATCTAACTGCATTCATTTATGGTAAACTTAATAACAACCAGAAAATGTCTGAACTTAAGAATCTTAGAATATTTTTTGAGTGACTTATTAATACATAAGATACTTAAATTATGATAGTAGTGTATAATATAAATTGAACTCAGGGTTTCCTGCGGTACAGTTTTGGGCTTTAATGTTACCAAGTTTCACAATAATCTCTTAATTTAAATGGTGTTGTCGTTTAAAAATTTTACCTCAATTGTTTGCTAACAAAAGCTTTGAAATATTTAAAATACATCATATTTCAATGGGATGGATAATTATTACAATTCAGAGGGGACATTGGAAGTTGCAATTAAAGTCCCTTAATTTGTTTTTTGTAAATGGGACTTAAATGGGGACAATGATTATTCTTTCTGAAAGATTAGCAACAAAAAACTCCAAAGATGGCTTGAAAACCCACGTAATTTAACTCAAAGGAACAATATTTTTGATTATAGTAATGATAATAATATTTACTTATTTTACATAAACAGTTATTTTACCAAATGTACATGCTACATACACAGGTTTTCTTAATGTTTTTATAATATTCAATTACATTGTTCTTTGTTTCTCTCAAATTTCACCAAGTTTAAAATTTACCTCGATGAGTAACATGAATGCTGATTCATGTCTGTCAGAAACAGCAAACAAAGTCTAGTAAGCGTTCTTGTTTCTAAACCAATACCAGGTAAAGATAAGATACTGTGAATGCTGACCAAAGCGTCTATTCCACCTCTCGTCTATTGCAAGATATCGACTGTTGAGGTGGAAACCATTTATAATATTTACAAAACTTATAAATGCTTCTATAAATGATTGTGCTTGACTTTACTTTTTATCCTGACAGTTATTTATCTTTACAAAAGTAACAATTATGTTACCATTAAAAAATCCGTTTTTAAATATTGTTATAAATCCATTTAGTTCTCTCCCTCTCAGACCTTTAGTTTGTAGTCTTAAAATAAAATGATGAATTTTGCAAGACATTTGTTAATGCGACCGATTTCAAATTATTGTTATTTGTACAAAACGTACAATAAATAGTGTCAGCTTATAAATTCTTTATCAAAAACTTAACCAACAAATTAAACTGTCCAAAGTTGTATATGTTCATGAAAAATCATCTATGTAGTATATTAGATTGGCTTTTGTACCAAAGGTTCCTTGAGTTTTTGTTTAAACTTTGTAATTGCATTAATATCTTTGCACAGTGTAAAAACGAGTGATTAAGAGTGAGTGAGGATATCTGTGTCCATATACAAGACTATCTGTGTCCATGTACATGTTCAAGACTATCTGTGTCCATATACAAGACTATTTGTGTCCATGTACAAGACTATCTGTGTCCATTTACAAGACTATCAGAGTCAATATACAAGACTATCTGTGTTCAAAGATAGTCCTGTACATGGACATAGACAGTCTTGTATATGGACACAGATAGTCTTTGACTTTGCCTAGCCATATTAGTTATTTGAAAGACCCGTCTTTGAAGAAGGGAAAAAAACGTATACAGATTTTTTCAAAATCCGGATCTGGATCTGGAACCAACATTTTCTTGGATCAGCCCATCACTAGTAATAATAATGTTCATGTTGTTTTAGGTTCTCGATGACTGCACCAAAGTGTTTGTGACTGAAGACACTCCTGCCAACATCAGCCATGCAACATCTCATTCTGATCTGTCTAACCTGTGTGCTTTGTCTGATGACTCGGACCATGACAACATCTTGGCAGAGTGCATCCAGTCAGGCATGCCTCAGGTACGTACAAATGTCTCCTGGTCTGGGGAGCAAGCTGGTCTATTGGTAGATATTTTGTGGGCTTCACTAACCTTTTATGTGTGATGTACATCCAAGACTTGTCTGGTAGAAAATAAACGGTACAAGCAAATTGACACATACTTTCTTCCATTATTTTGCCGAAAAGCATTATCATGGATAAGCAATGGAAATAACTATGATATTTTATGCCATGATATTTAAATTATAAAAGCTGCAATAACTTTTAAAGCGCAATTTAACCTATTTTTTACGGAATTTTATCTGAATAGCCTTGAAGACTGTACCGTTTTGTTTAAAGTTAAAGAATCCATAAAGTACGAAAGTTTAATCAAAATAGTTAGAGAAGTCAGTTTTTGTAAAAATCAGTTTCTTCGTTATTTTATGGGTTTATGGGAACATCCCCATCCAAAAAAATAGCCTGGAGATACTATAGATTAGTACCCACAAACCGAATTTCATCAGAATCGGAGTAGTCTGTAGCTCTGTACACATCCACACACAGACATCACTTCAAAACCACTTTTTCGGGCTCATGGGGACCCAAAACTCAAACTTGAAAGTTTTGATGAAAATAATACTTTCCCCATAACTGTATACTATTTTTTGGGTTAGAAAGTAACATTAGACCTGTAGATTACTGAATCATCAGACAAAATTGAGGGTGAGTGACCCTTAAATATCTACCAATGAATCACACCTCGCTTTAAAACATGGTTTTTAAGAGCTGTTATATGGGCTTGGTCTCATCAGTCCCAGGTTCAATTCCTGTCACCAATGGTCTTATCTATTTAATAATCGGGTGTAAAATGGTTATGGCTAAAATGGTGAGCAAGCTTGTCTAGTGGTAGACTGCAGGACTTTGATCCCTGAGGTTTTGGGTTAAAGTCCCGGCAAATCACCACTGGATATTATCAAAGTGATAATGCTGCAACCCTTAGGTCTAGCTTGAAGTGATGTGACAAACGATCATGGGCTAGATCTCAGTGTTTAATGGCGAAAAAATAATGTTTATTTATAGGGTTGTGGGTCTATAAGTGAATGTAAAAGATGAAGTGAAATTAAAAATTCTATATCAAACAAGGTTGAGTAGTTTAAAACTGTTAAATTCTGTTTCAGGCTCGATTAACGCCGAATAATAGTAACATCAAGAAACCAACAAAGGTGGCGACAGTGTTGCCAATGCCAGTGAAGACTTCATTGCTACCACAACGACAAAGTCAATCTCCTAATTTACCCAATGTGGTTCCAAAACCTGTTCAACAGTTGACTCAAAGGGTGAAGTAAGTGCAGAAGTTTTATAACAGTGCTCTTACTATAGTTCGGCGGCTTAGAAAGCGACCTGTGCGCTAATGTTAACCAATGCTAGAGGGGGTCACTTTCTAAGCGGCCGAATTCTAGTTAAGCTACATAAGCAATTAAGCTTGCTTACACCTGACCTCTAAAAATACGAGGGCGTTTTTTAAGTAAGGGCCGTTTGTAGGTATAGCCCTGTAGTTCAGGTGTACACCGCAACGAGGCGGCTTGCTGATCACTGGACAAAGTTGTGTACAGAATTTTGCCATTTCCAGCTCTGTACCTGTACGCTTTGCTGTTGGTATTCACAATTTTTTAGATTATTAAACCTCCTGCCGCATGCGAGATAAGGTCAGCATAAGTTTTTGACTAAAAGAAACATTTTCAGGGCAATTGTTTAACTCCCTAACCCATTTCCACACTTTACCCACTCTCATTGCATTGTCCATAACCTTGAGTATTCTGGAGATTAAGTTCGGCACCACATATGATTATTGCAGTCAAAAAACGCATCTCTGACCTTTCCTCGCATGCGGCGAAAATTCAATAGTTTTAAAAATTTTCTAGCCACAGCAAAGCATTCTTGTCAGCTTCAGAGCTGCAAATGGTGTGATTTCTGTCCACAAATTATGCCAGTAAGTAGCAAGCTGCCTCGTTGCATTGTACGAACAAACTAGGATGTGATACGTACAAAATGCCCTTGCTTAGAAAACGCCCCTCCTATCTTTAAATGTGCTTACGTAAAATGTCTTGGTTTCAGAGAATTATTATTTTTTGACAACTATTTTTATTTTCAAAGGAAAGGCAAACGGCTGATTTTTTTTTTTTTTTTTTTTTTTTTTTTTTTTTTTTTTTTTTTTTTTTTTTGGAAAGGGAAAGAGATAATGTAGATTACTTGCCAATGTGCTTATAGTTACACATTAAATGGCCACAAAACTTACAACTGATATTCTGTAATAGGACTCTGACAGAGTAGATTGAAGAGAACAATTTTCAGTCAAATCTCTTATCAATCTCACTCAATCAAAATATCTTGCAGAGTTTTCCATTCTAACACTGCCGTTCTTATTCTAACCACATTTCTAATTTTTTGTTTCCTCAGAGTCCTTATCTTATGAAATATACAGTAGTTGTAAACAAAATATTTGTCAAAATCAAAATCCATAATTTTTTACAATTTTTATTCTGAAATTATCTAGTGATTATCTTTCTAGCATTGGTTATCATTTATCAATCGCTAGAGAAATGCATATTTGTATAATGCATTATTTTACCATTTTTAAGCTAAAGTTTCCTCTTTGTATTTTTTAGAGATGACTCTACCAAAGAAGGATACCATGATGTAGCTGAAATAAACTCCAAACCCAATAGGTAGGCATAATTTTGAATATATCGAAGATTAGTACGTTTAAATTGTACTTCTTATCCCATACGTATCCTTGGATTATTTGATTTGTTTTTATTCTGTTGATTAATAATGGTTGTAGTATTAGATTTTATGACAAAACACTTGTCAAGAAAATTGATGTGATGATTGTAAGTAAATAAATGGATTATTTAAATGAAATGTTTGGTATGCATCACAGATAATTTGGGGTTCAGTTCGTTGGATATTTTTGTACTTTAGTTCCTGATACGAACACTGGTACGAAAATGGTTACCACTTTTCTCTCCTCTATCTATGAATAAAAATGTTGGGCAAGAGTACTAAATGCAAAATGTAAATCAAAGCTAGCATGAAAGGTTGTGTTCAACTTTGCTTCAGCCTTGTTCTACCGTACTTTTGCTGACACTGCCATTCCAACATTCCACAGTCCACAAACAAGGAAAGTCCACACCATAAAACACAATCCAGTTTCACCAATCAATAATGTAATTTCTATTTACTATTATCTATTAAGTGGAATGGGCAATATGTTTAAGTTTTAAATTATAGATAGTTTTTGTTACAGTTGTCAATTGAATACAAGAATTTTTTAAAGGGGAATTGTCCCTGAAAAGTGCTTTTTGATAGCGAGAATCCCATATAGGGAATAAGCTATTCCCGTAGGTCTCACGGTAAGACCTGGACCCAGGACCGATTTACTTTTTTATTTTGATGTCCCCAGAGGCCAAAACTCCATCCGTTCAAATTCTTATATGTGTCAGTTGGGACAATAATTTGAGCAAAAGTTATCTGATTTCAATGGAATTTGGCACAAACGTGTAAACCTATAATTATTAGGACGAGTTTGTGAACCAGCATGCTCAGACCATGTGAGCGGGGGTTTTATAGGGGGATTTATGGGGTACAAATTGGTTTTTCTCATTTTTGACCCTCAAAACATAAAATTTCCCAATTTCTCTATAAATCATATAAAGAGCTTAAAAAAACAAATAATTTAGTACCTTGAAGTGTTTCTATATGGTTATTTGTTACAAAGAAAATTCAAAAAATTGTAAATTTAAGATTCCTATGTTTTTCTTATGCTGTTGTAGTTTGCTTGTTTATGGATTTATTTTGATCAAACTTGGCAAATTTATTTGTTTTATTCTAAGCTATTGATATTTTCCAAAAAACACACTTTATTAACCTCCTTTTAGCAGCAACCCTTTGGATACTCGTTAAACATAATGTTATTGAAATTGAAATGGATATAATTGAAAATCAAATCAAGCAAATGCTAATTCACTTAGTGAGCAGGTTTGCTGCAGCGGCGGTATTTTGTACTTAAAATAGATTAAGCGACAAAATCTTATCTAAAAACATTATAAACTTGGGTAGGTCATGCTTTTGTTCTTAGATCTATAACATTCTGGGTGGCCATGTATAGCCTAGTTATATAGTACATCAGTGATTTCATCAATATGTATGTTTTGCAGGTGTCAAGCCATGTCACCAGTTCCTGATGACAAATCTTCACCTTTGTCATCTCTTGATCCTGATGGTAAGTCATTTAAAATTTGCTCAATTTTTTTTCAATTTGATTGAAAAATTGTTGTTGACTAAATTTTTTAAACTCATTTTCCTGTTGCAATTTTCAAAGGTCTTTAGATACTTATTGGTGGTTAATATATTTGGTTTTAATCTAATTAGCCTTTACAATTCCCTTTGGTATACTATATATGGTGGAACCTGTCTCATGATCCTCAGTCTGGTTAAAGAGGCTTAAGGCCTGGGCCAGTCCCAGTTATACTGAATGTCAGGAGACGGGTTCCTTCAAACAGACTATAGTTAGTTACCAAAATCACTCAAATCTGTTAGTGATTTAAATAGCATTGTTGACTAGATTTATTTCTCTTGAAAGAAGAGAATGGGCTTTTCAATTACAATTTTAAAAATAGGGTGTCTCAAAATGTTGAAATTTTCTGATTTTCTTGTACCTAAATAAGAAGATATATTTATGCAATTCCTTTTCTTTTTCTCTTGCTAAACAATCTCAACTGCTCTTTACCATAAACTACTGACTTGTGCGGTTATCTAAAGACAGTGAAGTATATGACAGTTTAAACGGACAAGTCAGTGTTGACTGCAGATGTAGGATAATACATGCAACTGGCCTTGAACCATCATTTTCTGTCTTTTCAGCCCAATGTGCTTCACAACGTTAAAGGTTTCATCAATTTTATATTTCTTAATTTTAAGAGAAAAAAAATTAAAAACATATAAATAAAAATGTTTCTAATGGAAGGTTCCTCAACTCTGGTACAATCTCAGAGGCTTGTTGTCTTGCTGATTAACCATCTTACGTTCTTGGTCACTGTTCTGTATGTTGAAGTTATTTAGGGGATATATGCTAAACATCAACCGTAAGCAGATGAAAAACTTCCATACAATACCTTTAAAATACCTCAAATTTGTTTAAGCTTGAATTTATGAACCCTGAACAAATTCTAATAATCTGTGTTGTTCAGTTGAGGAAGCAGTGACAGTCCTTTCTCGTCAACCGAGTACAGGATCACTTAGTGGAGAATGGACAGAGGACCAAGTGACGTTGTCAGAACAGGTTCTTCTAGAGCAGTGTATCACCTCTGGGATGCCTAAGACAAAAAACGGAGTAAACCCGTCTGTCGGCGGGGCGATGGGTGCGGGGCCGGCAGACGACGGAGGCGCTAGTGACACTTCCCCGTCGTTCCCCAGCATCAGTCTGACTGCGCCTCTCATATCATCGTACAAGAGTTTGGAGGAGTCAGGACACGCACCACTCATCCACCTCGAGTCTGGAAAGGTAAACATTGTGATCAACTGAGAGATAATTTTCAAAAATCACTAATAATAGTTGAAGGTTGATTTTTTTTTAGAAAAAGAAGTTGGCTTACTAGTACGTTAAGGTACAAGGAATAGATACACACAACTAACTAACCTATAAGCAGTTGACAGCACAAAAAAGTTCACAACACAATTAGTTTTATATTTTCGCCCTACAAGCGGGCTTCTTCAGAAGGAGTAGCACTGCAGTATGCCACTGTTTTAACCACGTTTCTTCTACTTCCTTCTAAAGAAGTCCATTGTTGGGGCAAAATGTAAAATTGTGTACGAGTCTAAAAATTTATTGGACAAACAGGTTCACACTCAACCATGAAAACCTTATTTTTTTCAGCTTAGAAAATACCTGGATTTGGCTATGATTTTTGCTGTTGAAAGTTAAAATTAGCAATGAGTCAATTAAATTCTTGTTCCATAAAAACTTGATATCAAGGAATAGTTCATTCTCAATACTAGGTTACGATTCAATGCCAATCTCTAGTGATGGCAGTAAAATCGTGATTGACCTTGATCAAGGCAAGCTAATGATCATCTGCTGAATTTTGAACTGCGTAAACTTTACATACTGCTTTTGCTATTATTATACTGAGATTCTTGTCTCAAATATATGAGGCACTATCGCGATTATCTTCTGCAATCCTGAAGACAACATTGTGCTCGCAGACAAATGGTAAACACCTACAGCCACATCATCATAGTAAAGATTTCAAGTTTAAGAGGGGATCCTGTTATTCAACTTAAGGAACAAGTCATCAACGTACATAACTCTATGTGTGTGACGTAACTTTATGTAACCATAACTGGATGGTTTCAGGTTGGTATCATCAGCAACCTCGAGATGGAGAGCAGTCTACACTCAGTGGACCTGGAGGCTGTAAGACCTCCCTCGTGTATGGGAAGTCTGCTCAGTCTGACTGCTAGTGTGAGTGAGACAGACAGACGCAAGCCTCGCTCACTGCTGCCTCCTCTCAGCTGGAATAACATTGATTCCATCAAGCCACCCTCCGGCATGGACGAGGTACAAACTTCAAATTCTCCTTGATAATGTGTAGTCGTTGCGTTTTGGCTTACGTTTAGAAATTTTCTTCAGTTACTAGGTCCCAATCCATTGCAGTGATTGGTAGCTGCATGTAAGCTGTGTACATGCAAATAATTTCAATTTTATGTAATCTAATCGTAGTCTTTTAGTCTTTGTAAGCTTGTTAAGGTTGGGGATTTAGTGACAGCGTGGTCTGTTTTATGACTCAAAAACATCTTAACCAGTTTAACACTCACACTTTTGCCCATAAAATACAATAACTACGAGGGTTGTCTCAAAAGTAAGTTACACCTATTTCCAAAATAAATAAAAAAAAGCCAAATTTGATTTGAAAAGGGTATATTTTAAAAGATACATACATAGACTATTTTTCTACGTAGTCGCCATCTTTTTCAAGGCATTTTTGATAACATGGCAACAGTTTTTTTAGTCCAGCATCATACCACTCTGCCGCCATTTTGGTTAGCCATTGTTCCACCTCCCGTTTCAGTTCGTCTTCGTTTTCGAAGCGCTTCCCGCCTAAATACCGCTTCAACTCCGGGAAGAGATGAAAATCACTCAGCGCCAAGTCAGGAGAGTAAGGTGGATGGCCGAAAACATCCCATCGGAAGGATTCCAAAAGGTCTTGTGTTTGACGGGCGGTGTGTGGGCGAGCATTGTCGTGAAACAAAAACACTGTTTTGGTCAACTTCCCCCTCCTTTTGTTCTATATCGCCCTTCTCAGCTTACGTAGCACTTCACAATAACGTTCAGCTGTAATTGTTTCCCCCCTTGGCAGGCAATCAACAATACTCCCTTAGAGTCCCAAAAGATTGTTGCCATGACCTTGCCAGCTGATTCGGCGACTTTAGCCTTTTTTGGAGTAGGCTCGTCCTTTCCCTTCCACACCATGCTCTGCCGCTTGCTTTCGGGCGTACAAATGTGCACCCAAGTCTCGTCCCCGGTTACTATCCTGTTGAATAGGCCATCTCCCTCATCATCAAAAAATTGTTGGAACTGGAGGGCAGCATCAACCCTCTGCTCCTTATGCCTTTCTGAAAGAAGGCGTGGCACCCATCTTGCACAGACTTTTGACAAACTGAGATCGTCCGAAATGATTCTGTGAAGCGACGCACGACTAATTTCAACATTTGGAGGAAGCTGTGTGATGATTTTATCCAATGTCAAGCGCCGGTCGGTGTCAATGACCTTGCGGACATCTTCAACAACAGTCAAAACGCGGGAAGTGGACGGGCGGCCTCTTCGTTGTTCATCGTGTAACGATTTTCGTCCATCAATAAACGATTGACGCCAGCGGGAAACCATTGGCCTAGACATCACATTTTCACCTTAAACACTGCACAATTCTCGATGAATTTCACTTGCATTTTTATTCTTTGCAGTCAAAAATCTAATTACTGCACGGATTTCACAATCGGCGGTGGGAACAAGTGGTGTCTCCATGATGGCCGGAGCGATACTGGAGGGGCGCGTGCCGTAGGCGGCCGCGACGTTTACAGTGTTGCCACTACATCCAGACGAAAATTCCCCGCGACTCCCAGCTTTCTAGCGCTCGACGCTGTGATTTAAAACAAATGTGTAACTTACTTTTGAGACGACCCTCGTAATCCCTTTGTTTGTTCATGATAAGGGTGGTTGACAAGCTAATGGGAGAAAGTATGTGTCAGATTGCTGACATACCGTTAAAATATGTGAATGTTCACTAGTAAAATAGGGTTAAATAAGCTTGCAAAACAAAAGGTTTGGTATGTCTGTTTCCTTGATTTCAAACAGCTGATTGTTACAACAAAGAGGCCCGTTTATAAATTTGTTTTTGTAAGGTTATGTTTTGCCTCATTTGCTTAGTTGAGTACCCGCCTGTCATTAAATGTCTACTACAAATCATATCATGGCCAAAATTTTTGTGTTTTGGCTTATCATTGTGGTTTAATGCTTGTTATAATTGCAGTTTGTACGGTTTTCATGACAAACGCTTATGTAAAACACGCCTTAACATGGACTGCAATATGTGAAGTTCCCTACCGGCTTTGACTTCTGTCAAGGTTTTTGGACTCCTCGCAAACTTAGCTTCAATCCTCTCCACAGCATCTGAGGATGGCCCGAACTCCTCCCGACACACAAACATCTAGTTGTCTTGAATTGTCTCACCCAACGAGCTATGCAGTTCCGATGAAGAGAATCCTTCCAAAATTAGGTCGGAAAGTCAAAAGTTCTGCTAAACACTTGCAAAAGCATCAGTACAAGCAAAAAATACAAAATGCCTTTTGTTTTGTAGCCATTTGTTGACAAACTTGTGGTACTAAACTAAGCAACTGAGACTAACCTTACTGAACATAACCTTGCCAAAACAAGCTTTTGAACATGCCCTTTTCATTGTTATGACAATCAGCTGTTTGAAATCGGGAAACACAACGACTTACCAACCATTTAATTTTGCACCATTCTTATTGAAACCCCCATATTTAAAACATTTTGCTGTGTGTAACATCACAGCTGTTCTGTCATTACAAACAAATAACACTTCAGAATAAATGGAACTTAATGATAGAAAGAAATGGGCTTAGCTTAGTTTTTCTAGACATGTAAACTGTCATATATTATGTACTAAATCTATCTAGGGTAAAAATATATGTCTTAACTATGATTTTAAATAACACAATATGCAATATTATTTAGTTTGGTTTGAGGTTTGACCATGACTTTCCATTATTGTGTAGACTTGTACCTAGAGTAGAAATGAACGTGGTTAAATGGAGCCTATACACAGAGTGTGCTGTAAATGACTTGTTTCTGTAAAATACACTAACCTTTGCACTCCAAACTAAAAGGACAACTTTGAGTAGCTAAACCACATTTTTTTTGTCAAATCACTGTTTGATTAGACTGTTATAGGTACATACCTTGCATCAACAAGTTGCGGTGAAACTCATGACATGTTTCGCCTATTCATGCATTGCCAAGTGATCTTTACTAGAATGTTACATCCAAATTAGATTTGTCAATTACAGTCAAGTGAATGAGACGCGACAAAAAAATTTCAACATTTAGAGTAGGCCTACTATATACTGGTTGAGGTACGGGAGGCAGTCTGCAGTCTAAATGTTTAAATATTTTTTTTTCGTTTTGTGAATGTGTGTTTATTTGACTGTAATTGACGAATCTAATTTGGACGAAACATGTTTGTAAAGATCACTATTGACAATGCCTGAATAGGAAAAACATGTCGTGAGTTTCACCACAACTTGTTGAACTGTTGACGTACGGTTGTTGTGGTAAACTGTGCGAGTGTCTCATTTAAAAATGTTCTTTTGGAATAAAAGAATTTGATGCATCTTATTTGTTTCAATGGAATGTGTAGGCCTACTCCAGTATCTAAAAGTATATGGTTTGAGTTTTCGCATGACCAAAAATCTTTTTGTGATTAATGTCAAATAATATTTATTAACCCTCCTGTTCTCCCCAGGTGATGGAGTTAGAGAACAGCATCTTATCCTGTGCCAGTATAACCTCCGAGGTGGCTGATTCTCCTCCTGGCAGTGAAGACGTTACTCTGGCAGAATCTGAACAACCTTCCTCCCTCACCCCCCGGCTCACACCCAAGATGAAGAGGCAGATGCTCAAAGACAGGTTAGGAAACATTAAAATGGAGTAAAAGGGCTGACCACAAAGTACACTCAACTGTGTAAACCTTAAAACCGCAAATTTCCTCAAACAAGATAAACATGGAATTAATTGGAGGCCAAACATTAAAAATAGGAATGAGCCAATTCTGATACTCGATTCCACAACTTTTAAGTTGTTCTTGATTTGAGCTAATAAACCTTTATTCGTACTCAATTTTTTTTATGTATTTATTTTTATACTCAAGACTCACACTGGTAATTACACTAACAAATTCAAAACTAATTTCTATCAACTGAAATATTTAAAAAATTGAGACTCGAGGGTTAATACTTAGGATAGTATATCCACTGGGGAGTTTATGCTGTCTTTATATTGTTTAAATATACTAAACTCAAGGGAAGTCGCTTTTAACCGTAGGTGTAAGGGAAAAATCTAGAAAAAGGTTTTTAAAACTCTTAAAAATTTGTTTTTTCCAAATTTTAACCCTTAAAACATGAAATGTTCAATCATCATTAAAGCCATCGTGTAAAGCCTACAACATAAACAATTTTGTATATTGAAGCACTGTTGTACAGAAACCAGCATTGTATATTAATAATCTAAACTTACATTGTGTGTCTATGAATCAATGATTTTTAGCCTCAGAAATGTATGCCTCAGATACATTCTAAACCTAAGGTAATATTAGGACGGATCAAATTGTAATGACAAGTGTTTTGCTATAATGTGACGTTTATTTAACCTTGCAGCTATCTTTAGGGTCACGTACATTTACTTCGGGTGATGGTTCAGGAATTAAACTCAAAGCTCTTTACAAAAAAAAACTTATTATACAAATAATAAAAAAAAAACAATAATAACAGCTTCCCCAACAAGGCAACAAACTGTCTTTTTTGTACATAATGTAATGGCCTTTTTTAGGTAAGCACAACAAGTAATTGTTTTACAATACTTCCAACCTAGCTATTTGCTCAACATTGCCAAACACTTTCTCATTATAATTTGACTTCTCATATTATTATGTCGCTTAAATTATTTTTCATCTAGTTGGATTGACTTTTCACCTCAAAGTAGATATCAATTGGTTTGTTGTGTTCGTAGGTTCAACACATACACAATCACTGGTGACAAGTCAAGCAGGGACAGTTCGCTGGATGCTGATGTCAACTTGGACTCAGAAATAGCAGAACCCCCCGTAGAGCCTTCTTCTCCAGCCAAACCCAAGAAGATGACACCCAAACAGCGACGGCTGGTGGACAAGGAGAGATTCCGAACAAGGACTTTGGGTGACGAACAGATCCCAGTTCCTCTCTCCCCTCGAGAAAAAAGATTAGCCGACAAGGAACGTTTTAGAACGCAGACATTAGATGCCCCGGCAATCATATCTGCAGAAATCCCTGATGTAACATCTACTACCGGAACTGTACCAATGACATCAGAATGTGCGAATGAAGAAGAGAATGAAAGCGACGATGAAAAGTATGAAAATGATGCTGAAGGTAGCGCCGACGATAAACCCAAACCAGTTGTTGTAAAACCTCTTGAAGTCAAGTCTGTGAGGGGAAGAAAGAAGGTGCGGAGTCACATTCCCGTCGTCAGTAGGAGTCCTGCGAATAAGTCTAAATCACCGAAACCTCCACCACCTTTGCAGCGGCAAGGGACTTTCACCAAAGACGAACCTCAAGTTTCTTCAGGAATACCGGTGTTCACCAACTCGTCTGCCAAGAAGCAAATTCCGGTGAAGAAGAAGACAATTTCCGGAGCCACGGGGATCCCTGCTGCTCCCTTGAGCAAGAAGGTGGTAGCCAGCGTAGGGAGAGGAAGAGCTGGCAGTTTGCCAAGAAGTGAGGCAACACCGAAGCCTGCAACCGGAGTGCGATCGTCCAAGTCAAACCAAAGTTTGAAAAGCGAGACTCTGGGTCCAGGAGCAAGATGGAATAGCAACTCAAGCCTCCACACACCTGCCCACGCTCCTACCCCTGCCACCAGCAAGATTGCCAGTCTCTGGAAGAAAGTAGAGGACTCCAAGAAGAAGAAGGAAGCTGAGGGAAAGGACAAGAGGGTCTGGATCGGTCCCAACTCCACACCTTTACATTCCAAACAGGTAGGCTAGGTTTGAGTTGTAGAAAGTTGCAAATTTAAAAAATGTCAAAGAAGAAGAAAAGGATACACAACTTACTTCCTAAGAAAAGAGTTCCAGGCAATTGAAGAACACTTTTGTGATCATTCAAATACCTGGAACTCTTTTTTGCGAATGTTAACATTGTCTCACTCTAATTACTTTGTCTCACTCACTCCAGATTTGCAATGTGAAGGCACGAAATAGTGAGTGCATAACATGCAGACAAGGTCGTATGCGCGCGAAATACGTTGGCAGCACTGGCTGTTAATCAGCTGGTCAGCTGTTGTACTGTTGTATCATTAAATGTAATATTAAAAGTTCACTTCTGTGTAAAAATATGTCACGTTTCTTTACCAATTTATTTGTTTTATGGTAACTGTAGGAAAAATATAATGTGCAACTTGAGTGCAAAGTGCAATTGCCTCATTCGAGAAACCATTCCTAAGTATTTCTCTCGAGTGAGTCAATTGCTCCCTTTGCTCACTAGTTGCACAAATAACTATTGTACTATCCTTGCTGGTAGAGAACAGTTTTTACTACAACTCACATATAGAACATTGGTATACTTGTAAAAATACCCTAATGATTGTTGTAATCTGTTTCAGGCCGTGTGAAAAAAAGGCTTCTGAGCTTTAACCTCCTACTGTATATAATTATTGTCAGTTAAGTTTTTAAGACTTGCTGGGCACAGAAAACGGCGTAATTGTTTCATATGAGAAAGTGTGTAAGGCTACGTTTTTAAACTTTTTGTACTAGCGATATAGCCTGCAATTATCTACGAGTATTATTTTACGAATTAGTTCTTAACTCAGATGGCTGAAAAGAATAAAAACAATGACTATTAGTTTAAAACTAATCAATTCCAGTATATAAACAAAAGTATTTTCCCACACAATTTTCAACTCGCTTTTCTTTTACTATACTTCTTTTCAGCCATCTACTTATGCTCTCTCATATATTTCAATTTAGAGACTGGTTAATCCGTTGAAGGTTGATTTATATCTCCCCCTTAAAGTTCCATTGCTGCCTTCTTGCCACATTTTAATTGTTTGACCAGGGTTTTGACTGTATATTTTTTCTTAGCCCTTACATCCATCACATTTTTTATTATTTGAAAATAAAAATAACAATGTTTATGCGAATATTACTTTAGCCAAGATCGCATCATGTTACGATAGCAAGTTTTTGCAGTATTTTTATAACCATTCGTAAAAGTGTACCCCACCACATTTTTGTAATTGTTCATCATCACATTTAACGTTTAAAATTTGATGTGTAATTGGGCTCACAGTAAAGTTGTGTCCAAAATTATACTTTTTCCTGTAAATATAATATTTTTACTTTCAGTAAAGTAAAAAGATAATTTCTCTGATTTCTAGAATCTTGAGTTTTAGAAAAATTTGATTTTTCAATTTTGAAAAAATTCTTATCACAACTGTTATTGATTCGTAGGAAAATTATAATTATTAAACAACAAACATTTCCTTTATGATACTTTATCAATCTTTATTATTGTGTAATATTCACTTAGGTAATGAACAAAATGCATTTAAAATATTGTAATTCAGTTGTGCTTTGATATATTTTAGGCTGATTAATAATCATAGACAAATATTAGTTTTGTTTATGAAATAAGTTAATTTAATGACCTAATTTTTAAAATTACATATCTTTAAATGATTTAACATCTTTGTTAGTTTATACTTTGGTAGCGGGACGTTGAATGAAGAAGTATACTGCTCGTATACCTCTGTTATTTATGTCGGAAACGCACCCTTCTAGTCTTTTGAAAAGTTGCAATGGTGCTGTATGATCTCAAACAAACCTTTGCTAAATCTATGTTATTTGTCCGATACAACGTTTGTCAGCATTTATTATTCAAGAGAAATGTTTTCCTGTTCCTCGGTTCTTTGAAATGTTGGGATTTGAGAAATAATCGAGGTTGTTGAATTTCTCGGTAATATTTTGCTATCCAATGCTTAATTAATTAAAATTACTGAACAAAGTCATTGATTCTCTCTTTATCTATTTGTAGGATATTAATATTAGACTTTAATGATTGTTATTGAAATGATTTGTTTACAAATATTTATTGTACGATTGTTGTATTATGAACCACGAACGTCGGTTTCAGTTAGCAATGATTTACAAACAAGACATTTCTTGGAACGAAACATAAAAGTAGTCATTTTGGTCTATGCATTCCACTTAAGCAATATGCATCACCCGCGAACTCAACCTTAGTTGCTTATTTTATACTACATTTGTATAGGTAGATTTATGATAAACTATTCTACCGGGGATATGCAAGTTATATTTGTATCATATTGTTTATAGAAATAATTTATGTTTAAGAGTGTTTGTTCACTTCTTTACCAAAGTTTTTTCACTTAAGAAATCCAATTTAAGGTCGATTGACAAGTGCTTTGAGCGATGTTTGTTTTAGAAGATTATTTTTATTTTGTTTTATACATGTTCCTTTATACATTATAAATTTAGGAAGCAGAGACGAGGTTTATTTTAAGTTATTCTTTTTTGAGTCGATGTTTTTTTATAAGTTTTGGTCTGGTGTAAAATGCATTTTAAAGCTATGTTGCTTTTGTGTTTCTGGACTGAAATTATATAGCTGATAATTTATAATAAATTATATGTATAACTTACATGGGTTTGATGATTTTTTCTTACACCTTTCATAGTTTCCTCATTCAATTATAAAATAATATATCCCTGATAAAGTGTGTGTCTTATTTAGGTTTCCTGGTTAAAGGAACACACATCATGTATGGTTATTGGTTAGAATCAAAATTTCTTCCATAAAACATAGAAATCAGCCAAATTTAACAAGTATATCAATAATGATTATTTAATACTCCATGGGAGTAACCCCTAAGACTAGTTAACACTGAATATCTCGGCAATCGATATGCATTCGAACACTAGTGCAGACTTAAGTGTTTACATTTCTTTAGTAAACATGTCTTATACTTTGACAGAAATTAGGTAGGCCTACTTTATTTGGAATTAAAACATTTTGCACAACTTAACAATCATATTTTTATAAAAAAGAATTTACAGATTCGCAGTATTTCTTTTCAGATCACATTTAGTATTGATAAAATTAATGAATGACTTAAACGCTTTTAGGAAATATAAAAAATATTTACATCATTGTTGACAAAAGTTTTCATGTGTAATTTCTTCTACCGGTGACAATATACAGATTTGCCCTCCTAGATGAAGACCACAATTAAATTAAGCTGCCTTTAAAGATTAGATTGTCTTATCTCTAATTATTGCAATTACTATTCTGGCAATAGCTAGGTTATGTTTGTTTTTTGTAAAGCTTTTCCAGTTTCCCATGGATGGTGTTAGTGATAGTTTCTCAAAGTGTGGATAATTTGGTGTTATTTTTTCTGCCCAGTGTTAGAAAATCATCACCTTAGGTTTCCAATGATCAGGTAAGCTAATTTGTCTTATATAAACATCAATATTTTGCATGGTTTTCATTCGTTTTACATTTTTGCTCTTTTCAAGTAAGACTATAAAATATTTAAAAAAAAGTCTCTTCCATGAGAAGTAGCCATTTTTTTATCTCAATACAAATTTAGCAAATAAAATTTACAAATAGGGTGAATAAATTATTTTAACAAAAATATTTTTATAACAAATACCGATCTGCTCTTTCTGATTGTTAAATAAACATGTAACCATTTAATCTAGCTACACTAAGTATTTGCTTCATACAGCTGTTCTATAGGTAAGGGCACAGAACTTAGCGAATACCCTCAACTAAAAGACATGATTTTTGTTATTTGCATGTAAATTGAAAAGTAATGACAAAATGAACTTCCAAATTGTTAAAAAAAACTTTTGCCCTAACGGGGAACTTTTGAATATTATTTGAGAAATATTTGTGGACATTTTTTATCACCACAATCAGTAAAAAAAGTTTTCAGATGATCAGGGGGTCGGTAGGAGGGAGGTTTTTTAATGTTTATAAAAATGAAAGTGAACCTTGTACAATCAGTGATAAGTTATGTTAATTGAACCTATAAATGTAGCATTAGGTTGTTATGGCATATATTACCACAAACTTCATTAATTCAAAATTTTAAAAAAACATAGTTTTATATATTTGGTTTTTATGACGATAAAATTTGGTCAATGATGAATAAGGTACTAAACCTTGTGAATATTAAACAGTTTTTGCAAAAGATAAGTCAAAATCAATATACAGTATTCTAACGACTTTGGCAAGGGGAAGTTTAGTAGTATTACAGGTTTTTAGTACATTTAAATAAAAAAAATTAAAGTTAAATAGTTTATGATAGGTCAGTGTCCATCACAGAATATTGCTTAAAATATCGATTTTCTTTAAATGCTAAGTGACAGATTTTCATCAGAACCTTTCGTTTTATTTGTCAAACTGTGATTTTATTACTGTATTCTCAAAAGTTTTAAGAAATAATAGAAATAGAAATAGTTTATAAAAATATAAAATAAATAGTTTAAGAGTTTGCATTTTTACCAACTGTTGCACTTAAAATAAATGCAAGATGAATTCATTTATACCCTCATTTTGTCTCTAATTTATTAACTACTAAATTCAAGTAAACCCTACTATTTACAATAAATCCAGCATATATTTGTTTCAAAGAGTTTTTAGGCAAAAGGTCACTGAAAAGTCAAACATTGGTTATCATTTCCAAAAATTGAGTACAAAGTTCAGTTAAAGGTAAAATACTGTTGATACAGACAGGTTAAGAAACAGCAAATTGTTGAACTGATAAGAAACTGCACCAGAAACAAAACAGCTGATCAACAATATTAGTCAGCTGATGATTCATTCTGTTGATAAGACCACCTGTGAGGAGTGAGAAATGTGTTAAATTTCTCCTTCATACTTATTTGTTTTTCATACTCTGTGGTAAGAACTATGTCATTAATACAAATATTGATACTAAATAGTGCACATAATGACGCCTCACCTATATCTGATGTCTGTTAAATAATTGACTAACATTTGTGATTGTATTTTCAATAATGTCACGGCAACCAACTGAAATACCTATGTAATCAAACTGTAAATTTTTAGGTGAATTATAAATGTAAAAACCATAGTTCTCTTAAGAAATTTCAATACAAATTCGGAATACAATTTTTTTTAGATATTAAAGACTATTACATACTAAGCTTGGGTCTGGATGCCATTTTTAGCATCTTAGTAGGCCTATTTCAAAATAAAAAAGTAAATACAGTCCCTAATGGATGAATTGCATCTTTGCAATTATAATATAATATACTAGAAAGGCATTTTCAGTACAAGTTGTGAATAATATTTTACATCACAATGGAAAAAAGAGGAAATACCTATATTTATGTTCACATTAATATTGTAATATCGAGGATCAATTAAAATAGTTTGTAGATTGCAAATATGTATCAGAGCCTGACAAAAATAATTAGGTGCAAGGGAAAGGAAGAATCACTAATCAGCTGATTGTTTCTCCTTGCTCTAATTTTGAATAAGTTTACTGATGATTTCCTTAAATATATCAAATGTTGAAATTTTTTCTTATCCTCATTCTCTTCTGGTTTGAAAAATACTTACCCAGCCTACAAAAGGTCAAATTCATTTTAAATAGTCTATCATTGTTAGTATTATTATTTGTTGTCTGATGGAATCATTACCAAAGATTATAGTGCACATAGTAGAATGTTTCTTAAATTATGAATGAAGCAATCATTTTCATTAATTATGTTAGTATTGGCAT